CGTTAACTATTGATGCTAGCGAAAAACTTTTATACAGAAATTGTAGATCTCGTTGCCCTCTACAAGAAAGGTCCTATGCAATTTTTCCGTATGTCCAACACTGGGAGTTATTGGCCAAAAACGAAAATTTGGAAGAAATTGAAGTGTTGAAGTGTACTCCTTGGAAAAATCTCGGAAAAATCGAAAATTTTTTGTTGTTGTTTATTAATAGCAATGTTCTTCCGACGTCTGATTTCTTTTTAAAAAATGTGTTTCTAAAGTGCATAAACTTTCGGGATTGACTGTATAGCCAATACATCTTTAAGTGATCGAGCGAAAGGTGTGATAATCGTCGATTAGCACAAGGATAACTCAATCTCGATTCGATAGAAATCGCTGCAGGTATGCAGTTTGATACACGGCCTTAATCGAATCGATTAAAATCGGGTTTAACTAGTTCCGAGGTGGTCGCGCATAATAAAGCCCCTGGAAACTATGTACGCGAACGGACATGAACGATGTGTTCGTTTCGCACGTGTTGCGGGTACCGCAATCGGGGCGGGGCATTCCGCGACGCGTACAACTGCAGTTCCTTAAATAGGAGCGCAGCAAACCGAGGGATGCGCCTGGCAAGAATCTAATCTGCACTTCCTGTCGCGTGTCTTGCGGTTCTGTTTCTTTTCTTCAGAAGAAACTTCGCAGCACGCAGTCAATGGGAACAGTCGTATGAAATAATTATCGCTTGGTGTTTCGTTGGCCGACCTTTTGTATGAGTTTTTTGTAACGTTCAGTGAACAAGTTCTTGTATCTCAAGAGATCGGACAAATGCCGGCTGAACTTGACCCTGGCTCTGTGTGTCTTTAAATGTAAATTTTGATTCGATTTTTCCGCAGTTTTAAATGTGGCTGGTGGAAAAGCTCCGATGCAGTCCAGCAGCGCGGAAGGTGGAATCCCTCAGCGCGCCGTCGACGGTAGCAGCGGGCAAATTTATACCCCCCAAACCTGCACCCTCACCAGGCCCGAACTCAGGCCCTGGTGGTACGTCAACTTGCTAGAACCGTATATGGTGCAACTCGTACGACTGGACTTCGGTAAACCGTGTTGTGGTAAGTGAACATCAATTGCATTTCTCATTTCATTCAGTTTCATTTATAGTTAAGAAACGGAGAATCCGCTGTGTGCATAATTTTAATGATACTGTAAGCAGTATTGACGAGGATCGTTCACATAAGAATCCGGTTGACGCAATCGATTCTATTCTTAATCGTGATAACTGCTCATCGTCATTCTTCCTTTGGGTGCGACGAATTAATTTAACGGAGTAGATTTTGCGATTCTTCCTTCCGTTCACGTTCACATGTTTTACAATAAAATCCGTAGGCATTTATAAGACTTCAAGTGATCCGACCTGCTAAATTGCGCATGCTAAAATCCTGCTGGTATCGAAACCAGTTCGTGCACGTTCTCCAATGATTAAATGGCACTTTCTACTAGAAACTGTGTCGGACAATAAAATAATACTGCTATCGTATCTCTTAAATGTACCATGAAGTATCTCCCTTGTTTATCCATAAGCATTCATCTCGTCTTCCTCGTCTACTTTTTTCATTCTTTCATAATTGACCGTGAGCATTATTGGCACGCGAAAACTTTTAGAAACTCGCCGGCGCGAAAGTGAGAGTCTTTTCACTTTTAGAAACGATTATGCACTTGCTGCTAGACTCCTTTGTTCGGCACTTTACGCGTGTTTAAATCGTCGCATAACTCTTATTCCCAGTGTTACGATCGTTTCATTGACCGAAAGTTTGCATTTCACGCGCTATTCGTAACTCCTGCTAATCGTACAACGAAAGTTTTCACGGTATTCCGAGTTTCACGATCCTCGAAACGTCGTACGTATGGCAGTGAACTCAACGACAGAAACATTGACAAACCGAGGTATTAAAAGAAGGTCCGATCTTACGGTGAGAAGCGATCGGTTTGCATCGACTTTTCTCGACGTCACGAACGTATCTAAGAGAAGATGCAATTACGATGTTGTTACGTTTACGCGAATCGAGACATGCGATATCTTTAACAAATTATTCACGGATTGTATGGAAGATGATCGTACGATCTCTTTTACGACGAGTCATTAGAATTTCATGATTCCCTGCGGCTTCCGCCGCGTTCACGGAAACGATTTGCTTTGTAGTTAATCGTTTAAAACGGCGGCCCGCGTAAACGACGACGAGAGAAAACTTTCACTGTTCCGAACGAAACGCGAGCAAACTGAAGAACAGCGACGGACGTGGCGCCGTTTACACGGAAATAAAAAAGAGTGAGAGTTACTCATAGCTGCTTCCACGATCTGATCTCTTCCTCGAAAAACGCAGTTTTCATCGTCTCGCAACGCAACGACCCGTGCCGTAGAAAACGTTCGTTGTACAACAAACCCGAGATCATTTATCGAACGATTAACGTGATTTATGGAATATGAAAATTCATCTGCTCACTTTCTTCTCGTCGAGCAATGTATCTGCTGATTATCTTTGCCGGATTTCACTTCTAGCATTCTTCGATCTTTTTATGGGCTTCGAGTGCGCATTCATTTAAATCTGTTTACGGGTGCCGTGTGTTCACCGTTTGGTCTCGAGCAATTATCACGAGACGATTCAAAGCTTAAGTAACTGTAAACTTTGCGACTGTAAACTTTGTAACTTACGGGTTGCGAGTCGTCCGTGCAAAATCGTATTTTAACCGTGAACAAAGTTCACTTGCTCCGAGCGAGTCGCGAAAAGGGAAAATGGGATGCAGTTGGTGCGACGGGTAGTCGTTAGAAACGCGTTTTCTAATAACGTTCGGGAATGACTCGGGAAATTTCTCCGCGGCGGACGGAATTTTCTTTTTCTGTAAACAGAAAGAAATTGTCGCTGTTTCGAAGATGATTACAAAGGACGGTAGGTGGAAAGCATGTAATTGGAGTCGGTGGACGAGGTTGCTCTAGCGTCCATCCAGTCACACCTGAAATGATTTCCAGGCCGGGAAGATGTAGTCCTCGCGGGATCGTTTCAGATGGATATTAATCCGTTCGAGATTGCTGCGCGTCCATCGACCGATGCGTCGTGGCTTCGGTGAAAGCTCAGATCGAGTCGAATCCGAGAGATAATGACGCGTCGAAAATGTTTATCAAAAACTAAATTAAAACTTCCTCGGTTCCAAATCTACGCCTATCTAGACCCATCGCCTATCGTTTCGTTGAATCTCGCCTGATGCTCGAATCGAGACGTGCTTTAAAAATTATTTTCTTTATCACATAGGAAACACGATCGGATGATCGCAAAGTGAAATTTGCTAAAATTACTCAATCCTTATATAATAATTCTAGGAATAAGAATAGAACCGATTTATGCGCTGAATTATTCATTCCTTAAGTGAAAAATCGAAACCGACTTCCAGTCTTATAAAACAAGTGAAACCTGTTCTTTAATTCATCCAAGTGGACGTAAAAAAATCAATCGGTCCTCGTATAATGGCATTGCATAAATCATCGCTATCGTTACCATGGAATTTAAGACAGATATTAATTTGATCAATTACGTATCGTCGGTTTATCGTTATTCACTAATCAACTAACGATTCGACGATTTTGTACGTGACCCGCGACAGGCGAGGGAACAGCAGGCACGATCGTAGTGCGTGTGGGAAACAATCGGCCGGACTTGGGAACGAATCCAATTTGCAATCGTTTCACCGGTACGCTCGAAGAGGGACAGCCACTATTCTTACCGTGCAATCCTCCGATGCCCGGAGCTTTCGTCTCCGTGCACTTGGAGGCAAACACGCCCGCCCCGATCCCGGTACAACTCTCTCTCTGCGAAGCTTTCGTCTACACCGACCAGGTACAGTTTCACGATCCTTCTTCGCGCAAATAAGTTTAGAAACGCATTTCTCTCGGCATTTAACTATTGAAACGTGCAAAAGCATCGTTTTCAGCGAACGCGTGGAATCGACATCCTTTAAAGCGATTATTTTGCACAGGCTCTCCCCATCGAGAGGTGTCCGCAGTTCAGAGATCAGCCCCCAGGCTCGACGGCCACTTACAACGGCAAATGTTACATATTTTACAACAGGCAACCGATGATATTCAGGGAGGCGTTGCAGTTCTGCAGAGCGCGCGGCGGTACTCTGGTGGATGAGAGCAATCCTGCGTTGCAAGGATTCATCTCATGGGAACTGTGGAGGAGGCACAGGTGCGCATCAATTACGGCGGCGAAACGACTCGACGCGAGACCCGTTCCTTGATTTACTCTGTCGCGGCGAGTTATTATGAGCTTAATTTCTGCGAAGGAGTGACACGTCCAGCCAGTACTGGATGGGCGCCGTGAGGGATCAGAAGGATCGCACGGTGTGGAGATGGACCGGAAGCGGGGAGGAGGTTTCCGTTTCGTTCTGGAGTCTGCCTCAGGGCACCGAGGAAGACTGCGCCCGGTACGACGGAAGCAGAGGCTGGCTCTGGTCCGACACACCTTGCACGGCTCGATTGAATTTCATCTGTCAGCACCGTGAGTATTTCCATACGTATTTCTCCCATTACTATCGAATCGTCATCGATCTCGGTATTTTCGCTCGTCAGCCGTTGTTAAACGTGTAGACTTTTGTCTTTCACGATAATTGAAGAGGCTGTATAAATCTGTTCTCGAATCGTACTATAGTTGTACTCGTAATTCCTCGCGTATCGTTTGAAATTTAATTTCTCATCTTCTTTTATCTTCATCGTTCATGGACGCTAAACAGCGATTGGTCGATGGAATTTACTCTGGTAAAAAGATGGGGTAAAAACGGAGAAACTTTGTTTGCTCGCAGAACCGCGAGCGTGTGGTCGACCGGAACAGCCACCGAATTCCACGATGACGGTGACTACGTCGACGGATCGGAATTCCGGAAGCACGTACGAAGTCGGTGCCACGGTCGAGTACTCGTGCAACGCTGGTAGCCTCCTCATCGGACCGTCCAGCCGCACTTGTCTCGACACCGGATTTTACAACGAATTCCCTCCCGTATGCAAGAGTAAGAGACTACTAATTCACTTTTTTAAAAACGTTCGAATTGCAGTTCTGTATTTCAAAATGAATTGAGGCCCGATCATCGATCGTTGTTTCAATTTTCACTCTCGTGTCACGGAGATGCTTTCCGGGCAAGCATACTTGATCATATTGAATCAGTTTGCACGTCACGTGCTCGGATTTTTAGTCCTATTAAAGATATTCCTGAAACGCGATGTTTCAGGTATCGAGTGTGGCTACCCGGCGAACATAAAATACGGCGGCTATACGCTTATCAACAATACCGTTAGTTATCTGAGTCAGGTGCTATACTCCTGCGACGAGGGATACGAGATGACCGGTAAGTATCGAACGTGTCGGGCATTAGTTCTTTGATAAATGGTTACACCGTTCATCTATCGCGCTTTGATACGCGCGTTCGAACGATACGAGTAGTTTGAAACCAGGAAATTGGTAAGAAACGTGACGCTGTTAGGCACGTGATGATAGCCTTCGCTTTTTTCGATTCACCTTTAGTGGTTTCTGTTCTCAGCTGATCATTGAGCTTGGCGAGGATCGCAGTCGCAGTCGACCGTTCGTTAACGAGAACGTTCGGAGTAGATTTAATTTATAAATCGTTTACATAGGTCGGTCATGAGGACGAACATTAAAAATTCACGTTTGATTGAAAAAAGTGAAATTGATATGAAATGAAAAAATGTCCATTTTATTAGGTTCGAGAGGTGACCAAATATTCTTGATCATGTTATTCGTCACGAATGGAACTTTGGATTACAGGTCGTGCGAGACTGACCTGCGACATCGACGAGCGGTGGAACGGTCCACCACCGCGTTGCGAACCCATCCTCTGCGATCCCCCGGCTCCGGTGCCTCACAGTCACATTCAAATCGACGAGATCGACGAGACCGAGACGATCTCGCCCAAAACGAACTTCAACAGAAGCCTTCTCGTCGGCAGTATCGTTACTTACACCTGCGAGAGAGGATACAGGCTCACTGGGTTCCGGCAGATATTGTGCCTGCCCACTGGCTTGTACGACCACGCTGCACCCACTTGTTCAGGTACTTCGCACATTCCGTTCCATTCGATCTCGTAGAACAGTAGTATTTATGATATATCGCTCCATCATGATGTTCGATTGAAATGACCATTGTACGTTTCGATTCGTGTCCCGTTTCCATCGAACAGCGTGTCGTTGAACTAAAATCTGTAGCCTCCTCGTGAGACGATGAGAACGATGAAATTTCTTGATCAGAGGAACCACGAACCACGACAACGGCTCCACCGCGAATCACGGTGCGGCCGACGACTGCCAGAACCCGGTCAACGTTTTTACCGCCACGTGTGCGAACCACGACTGTTCTGACGACCACTTCGAGCACGACCACGACGATACCGCCTCGAAGAGTGGCGAGCACGGCAGAGCAACCGGCGATGGTGCGCGAAACGATTGCCAGGAAGCCGAACGTGGGCCTGCAGAGACCGACCCCGGGCCCGGCTTTGAACGACGGGAGCATCGATCATCCGCAGGACAACGAGATCTCTGGAAGCGGGGTGGACAACGTTCAAGCCGGCGTCGGCGCGGGCGTCCCGGAACCCTCCGGACCGTACAGAGTGGACAACGCGGAGTCGAGTAACGCTCACCAAGCGAAATTGAATCTAGGCGCGGTGATCGCGTTGGGCGTCTTCGGCGGTTTTGTATTCCTCGCCGCTGTGATCACCACGGTCGTGATACTCATACGCAGGTAAAAATTGACAAGTAATTAGTAGACACCGTGTCACAGAATAAAAACTCTTCCCAGGTGATCGCGATTTCAATCGCGGTGATCGCTGTCGCCTGGATCTCTTGCGAGATAAATCTGAGATACGATCGATCCGGTGTTCGTTCGAAATTTGGAACGAATCACCGATTACGAATTGTCAACTGACACAGATGAATCGAACTCAAGGTACACCGGATCGATCTAAGTCCGTGGCCTCGTCATACTATTTCATTCGTCATTTTCGGCTAACGATGTTCTGTGTGAAACAGCTTCTTTCTACATACATACATACATACATATGTACAATACATACATTCGCTCATTGACCCTTCGAGCGGCTTCATACGGAGAATCGCGATTTTCGTATCTTCGCGTGAAAGCGCTCTACGTGTGTATACTATATTGCTTACTCTGTATTTGTTCAAACTGACCCTCTGCTCTCTCTTCTCGTCTACTTCTCTGACTAATCGCGTCACAAGATCATACGTCTATGTTTAACAAAGCGGCGTGAGGAACATTCGCAGAGTATAGAGTCGTCGACCTCCAACCAGTAGGGCGTAAACGCACAGTGACTCGCTGTGTAAAATCTTAAGAAACTGTCACGTTTCGACCCATGTCATCGTATTAATCTTAAAATCGTCGTGCGATCATAAAACTTCTCTCACAGTTTCTTTAACGATGTAACTACATATAGTATCCATCAGCTTCTCTAAGCTAGATACAGAGTTCAATCGTCGTGTAAATCGATTTGCCAAAAAATAAATGCTACTCGTTGCGAAATCATGTTTCATCATCGATCGATCGATCATCGGCTGAGGAGATCGTCCATTACCTTAGCATGCGATATCACGATTTCTGGGTAAATTGTAAAACAACGAGGAGACGATGAGTAATGAAAACGATTAACACCGAGCCCGTTTGGTGGCTAGCGGCAGCGGCAGCGTCAGAGGAAGGCGCCGCAGGGGGCTTGGTGGGGTCGGTGCGTCGAGGGGTGGCGGTAGTGGTGGCCTCGGACGGGGTGATACCGGGATGCCCTCGCGTTGGTATACGCTACTCGCGCTACCCTTCCCCGACCAGCACCTGGGGCGCCGCGATTTGACCGCGCGCCGCGGCACCGATCATCCCTATTCGTTCGGTCTCTCGGCGGCCCATCGAGCTGGATACTTCTCCAATCCTTCCCTCTGACACCCCGATATCCCGAAATACCATAAAAAAAGAATCCCACGGCGGAGCTCCTACTTCCGCTGACATCGGAAAAGTACAATATCAATCGTATCGCCTGTGTCATGTAACTTATTCAATTTACTCGATCGAGACGAGTACTCCCACAGTTTTCCCAGGATGACAAACAGAAATCCTTCTCCATCGATATTCCTACGAGATTCGAATACCGCCCTTATCCTTCTCTCAATTCGAAACCAATCGAGTCACTCGATTCCAAAGAGGCAAACGTTCGCCACCTGTGTATATGTACAGTGCGAATCGCCCACCATTGTCGCCCTCACCCTCCACGCAACCACCGCCCACCACCACGTCGACCATCACCACGTACCACTCTACGACCGCCATGCGTCACCCCCGCGAGTGATCACTAGTCAAGGTAAACGAGCAAACGTTTCTAATGAGCACGTACATAGCGATAGCTCGTTCACCAACCATCACCGCCGACACAGATTCGGCTTCGCACGACTCGACGCCGCGCACCTGCCCTCCGAGTCACGCGGACAGAGCACCGTGCCACACAGCGAGAAGCGTTACGATTGTTCATCGGAATAGTTGACAAACGTGATTCGTCTCCTATTCGCTGTATCAATGTTCGCTATTACTTCAGTGTCGTTCGTACTTCTGACCTCTGATTCTCTCTGCTCTTCTCTCGTTTTCTGGTGACGGTATCGCTTACGATCGCTTCGATCACGCTTCGCTGAATTATCCTACACTTTTTAAATAACACGCATGCTCACCGTACCCGCTGTTGAAAGAGGAGAGACTATTCGATGCAGCGATGCCCGTCAATTTCGCGGTTGTACAATTGTTTCGGTACTCGACGCGTTTCAAAGCGCAAGGGAAACAGAAATTACCTGGGCATCGCTGTTGAAAACGTCGGCGTCTCGCGACAGGATGATAAACGATGGATCGGTTGATACAGAAACCGCGGTAGAAGCAGCAAACACTATCGGCACCGTGCATCCCCCGATTGCAACACCGTGGCAAGCTTCGGTAGCAGCTCGTCCGAGAGTCGGGGCGGTTTGAACCGATACTACCGTCAGGCGTGGGAGAATCTGCACGAGACCACCGGGCACAAGACCAATCATCCTCCCCTGAGACGCAAGGAGACCCTGGACGAGCCTGGGTACCGGGAAAATTATCGTGGCAGCGGGACCAACAACAACAACAACACCGAGAGGGACGGCTCGGAATTGGTCGTGAGCGACGTGGCCACGTATCCGTCGAACAAGCACGCGAGCATATCCGACAAGAAACGGCATCATCATCACCACCATCATCATCACGGCAACTCCACACCGGAGTGGAGGCAGTCCCAGACCCATCACAGATACTGAGATCGCTCGCTCTTATCTACGATTCCCTCAAAGATTCGTCTCCCTCATTCTTCTGGTACACTCTCTCTGCTCGAGACGAACCGTTTGAAATTTGAGTTATCGTTCCGTTCACAGTAAATTATTATTGCTTTGTCAATGTAAATACCGTAGCGTAAGAGAGAGGGAAGCTGCGAGACGTAGGATCACGCTCGTTGATCGAAGGACATGCCAAAAAGAAAGGAAATAAGAGAGTAATATATTATAATAACGCGTAATTACCGATCAAACGAATCTCTAATATATAATATCTTCTGTCTCGTAATTGTAAGTTATCGCTAAGGAACGTTAGATACGCGATAGTATTGTTTAACGGTAAATTTTGTGAAAATCATACAACGGCTCGGCAAGATCTGAATCTGTTATGGGCACCTTGGCCTCGCCTTAAGGGGATCGAACGAAGCGTTCTCGTAGCCACAGCGACGCCGATATTATTCGAACGAGGTATCGTTAAGGGAAGGCCGACGTTATCCATTTCACGATCAAAATTCACGTAGTTACGGTGCTCGTTTCGAAGACAATTTACTCATAGACGTACGTACGGATCGGAATCTGCGCTCCGCAGATTTATTCACGGTCTTACTTACGATACGTACTTACGATACGTTTTATACCTGAACAGATCGCTCTCCGGCCTCGTCGGGGATGAAATATAATACGGCACGTACTCGTTCGTTGACTGACGTAAGATAATCATAGGAAGTTCGTACAATGTATTTATTTAAATATCACGATTGTACCCAGCAAATTGTAATAGTGCCATTATGGGCAAACTCCTTGTTTTAATTATACATATATCTACCGTATAAGAGAGTAGCGAGTACTCCTACACATTTTCATAATTTGTTTAGCTGAATACATATAGTTTATAGTCTTGATAACGCACGAGATGTTTAAGTTGATTAAAAGGTCACGTCTAGCACAATCACATTTCGCAAGTTTGTAAAAAACGAATTGAGAAGAGACCATTAAAATAAATTCCACTCATACAAGGCATCCCCGGATTTGTTACAATAAAAAAAAAAAAATACGTATTTCTAAGCATAATAAAGATATCATACTTGATTCAACCATTGCTGGATGAAATTCCCGATCTTCACTCTGGCAGCTTTCAGCTCCGGTGGGTCGTTCACCGATGGTGGATACATGTTGGCGCAATGGGCAGTCCCTGTAAATCATACTAAATTAGTCTTCCATGTTGAATGAAACGTTGATTCCAACTTTTACGTACCGTTTATATAAATAGCGGGCATCTGCGGGTCCGTGGACTTTGTAATTCCCAGGGCGTGCCAAGGATCAATCGATCCGTGCACGAACACCACGTTCGTCGTTTTCAAGTTCAGTGCTCCGTACAAGATGTTCGTTCTGTCAACGGTCGCGTTCAACAAATGCTCGTTATACCTCGGACCGAAAATGTCGGTGCACTGCTTCACGAAGAAGTTGACGGGGAAGGTCTCGCTGAACAGATTCGGCCGGGCAGTAGATGTTTGGAAGAAGCCGAATTCCGTGCACGTTTGATACGTCCACTGACGTCCTCCTTCGGCTTCTTCGCTAGCCCACGTCACGTTGCGGAGCTTGTGAATCATTTTATCGTACATATAGTCCAAACATTTCTCCTTCGAAGCGTTCAATATCTTTGTGCTCAGATACGCCAGTCTGTCTATGGCGATGCCTAATGTTTGGTTAGTCAGAATATCGCACGCGCTGTCGATGGTCATATTGGCCATCTCCGAGTTATTGCGATTGTCTTTATTGTACTGCACAATCCCGGCGAAGTTGCTCGCGATCGTTTCATACAAATTAGAGATGTCACTACGTTTCGTGTGCCCGGGATCTATCGGGTCACACAAGCTGCGAATGGAAATAGGCTTTCAACTGAAATTCTGTAGATAGCGAATCTCGTTCATACTCACAGAAATTGCTTGGCTATTCTCTGCTGACCGATGGTATGACGCAGCAACACGTGGAACTGTCCGTTCGCTTCGGCTATAGCGTCTACGCACGTCTTAGAATACTGTCTCAGCGCATCCTCGACGACGACGTAATATTCTGCGAACCGTCATCATGCATATGAAACATTTGTCGAGGAAAACGTTTGGTTCGTGTTCACCTTGGAAATCGATCTGCGCTAACAAGGGACCGCTGGCTGAGACTGCGCCGTGTACCAAATGAGGATACTTGACTCGCAACCAAGCAGCCAGTGATCCAGGGTAGGACCCTCCGAAGGCGATCCATTTGCTGTTCCTCGGTAGTTTGTAATTAACATTCATAGCGTGTATGAAATAGGCGAGGTCTGCGAGCGCTTGTTCCGACGAAAGGTACACTAGATTCTTAATGCTGAGATCTCTGTGAATCACTGATATCAGACTTCATCGTTTCTTTTACCGAGTTCTCGTAGCACTTACGAGGTGGGACGACTCTTCCCGTAAAACCGATGCTCCACTTGAAAGCATAACGCTCCAAACTGTTTAGCGTATTCGATCCACTGGCCTTCCACCATCCATTTGGCGCTTGCCGTCCCCTCGCCTCCTATCATCAAAAATATCGGACCTCCTACCTTGTAGTACTCCCCATTGACGAAGTACCTCTGGAAAATATAATTCAGAACGTGATATCTTTCTCAAAGTACAGTCGATTCATTTTTTATTACCTGTTTCCACATACGCGCATCGATCGGATTGAAATGATCTAGGAACTGTGTAAACCATTGCTCCTGTGGAAGCTCGTACTGTTTAGATAAGATTGGAACGCCTAGATTGCCGTACTTGCTTCTGCCCCTCGTAAAAGTCCTCCATGATATACTACTATTTATGATACTAGCAAAGAATAACAACAGTAGGAGCCGACTCATTTTCTCTTTGGTCCCAGTCACGTTTATTCTGAAAAGGATAAAAATTAACGTCAGATACTCCTTGCTACATGTTTCACTGACAAGTACATGACGGAGATAGGTTTTTCAATCAACTTTTTATAATAGTTCTTATAAACGAATGCATTGCTCACAGGGATCTCTGTCTTCCTGCTAACCCTGTCTCAATCTTTGTTCTGTTTCTTTAATGCAGATGATACTCCTCATACACGATAAAACAGGCAGTTTCATAAGAAACTGCTCATATAATACCTAATTATCACTTTAAAAATAAATTACGAGTTCCAGAATCTATTCACATGTGTGCTTTCCTCCTAGCCATAGCGCCCTCTTCGTATAAATAATATTCATTTTAGAATATTAGGTTTAATTGAAAAATAGATACGAAAAGTAAACTCGTAGGATATTTAACCTCTAGACGTACGAGGTTTATATGCATTATAGCTATAGCTGTGCTGTGCGTATCATGCACAAGTGTTTTATCTATAGTTCAACACATCCTCGAGCGATGCGTTGTATGCGTGTATCAAGACGAGTTTAATCGCAATCGCAGATGCAATCTGCTCAGATGTTGTTACGAGTAAACGAGTAAACTACCATCGCGAGAACTGTAAACTTACGCGTCGACGGAATAGGAACAAATTGTTCATTATCCATTCTTAACGTGTCGTCGTATCGCGTGCATGACGAGAGATTGGTGATACCGACTTAAAATACAATTAAACAATTGTAAAACCGCAGACTAAAAATGCCTACGTCTATACCTCAAACTATAAGGAAATCGTATATCACGATGTAAACGAATTGAGAAAATATTGAATCACTGACGCCGACACAGGTTTTAAAGTTATCGTACGCGACGCTTGTAACCTGTTTCACGTTTCATCGCTTGTTTCATCGAAGGTAAGCTGAGAACGAAACGTACGAGTTAAACGAGTGTTCTTTACTTTTACTATTTCTCTCGATCAATGGTCGATCTTGTCATCCAGCTGTCTCGATCGATCGTGTCCACGCTTTATCAACTATCTCTTACTCTGAACAATCAAATTTGTCTATTGCAGATTAATATAACAATTGAAGCAAGATGAAGTTCGCAGAGCATTTGTGTGCTCACATCACGCCCGAGTGGCGTAAGCAGTATATCAGTTACGAGGTAAGGTTCTATCGATAGACATTCAATTTTATCAATCGATACTCGATAAAGCTTGTACTCTCATGATGTAAATCGTACCGTTACGCGATACGAATGAATCGATCAAGCGACAATTGAAACGACCTCCCTGGGTTAACAGGAGATGAAAGCGATGCTGTACACAGCCGTGGAGGAAGCACCTTCTGCCGAGAGCGTCGAGCCAGAAGTGATCCAACGACACTTCGCCTCGTTCGACGAAGTGTTTTTCACGTTCTGCGATCGCGAATTAAAAAAGATCAATACGTTCTACTCTGGTAAGGAAAGTTTCGTCACGCTGCATGCCGAGTCGAGTAGGAGTTATGGATAATAGCTATTAACGGCATCAAAGCGTGTGCGACGCGACTCATGACTACTCGACGATCGTTGTTAACGTTTAACTTTTTGTTTTTGTATGTAGAAAAGTTAGCAGAAGCGACGCGTAAATACGCTGCTCTTCAAAGCGAATTGAAGATAGCATTAGAGTTGCAACACGGTGGTGGAAAAAATAAAGGGAAAGCGATCGTTAAGACTCACTTACCGACGAGAAAGCTAAGGGAATTGAAACTAGCCTTCTCGGAATTCTATCTGTCTCTTATACTCCTTCAAAATTATCAAAATCTAAATTACACCGGTTTTCGTAAAATCCTTAAAAAGCACGACAAGGTACATACAAGAACCGAGACTCGTTTCATCGAGACGATTCATCGATTTAATCTTCTTATATTTCTCTAGGTGCACAGGAAACAACTAACATTTCATTTAAAACGTTTCCTATCCTATTAAACACAAGTAACACACCTCATACGTCGTACCCGTCACGGTCGAACCACGCGACATTGCATTACTTAATGATCGCTTCTCGTTTTCAGTTACTGTCCGTAGACACCGGTTCGAAATGGCGTATGGAATGCGTCGAAACGGCGCACTTTTATACGTCGAAAGACATAGACAACGTTATACAGGACACGGAAACTACGGTGACGAACGATTTAGAAGGCGGAGACAGGCAACGCGCCATGAAACGCTTACGCGTTCCACCCTTAGGAGAACACCAAAGTCCTTGGACCACTTTCAAAGTTGGATTGTTCTCCGGTAGCTTCATCATTCTGTTCGTAGCAGTCGTGCTCTCGGGTAAGAACGAACGAGCATCGAGAACGTTACGGGAGACGTATGTCGACCGTCGCATCTGTCGTTCTTTCAGCAATATTTCACGGCGGCGGTGAAAACTTGAAGATCGCATTTAGATTGTACCGCGGACCTCTACTCATTATACAATTCTTATTTCTCATCGGCGTGAACGTCTACGGGTGGCGATCGTCCGGCGTGAATCACGTACTGATATTCGAGCTGGACCCACGAAACCATTTGTCCGAACAACATTTGATGGAACTGGCCGCTGTACTTGGAGTCGTATGGACTCTGAGCTTGTTGAGCTTCCTGTACAGTGCCAGCTTGAGCATTCCGCCGTACGTAAACCCACTGGTTCTAGTCTGCATCATGCTGGCATTTCTCCTGAACCCGTTAAAGATGTTCCGTCACGAGGCACGATTCTGGCTACTCAAAATCATGGTGAGTGTCAGCGGTATACGTCGCGCGAATTTAGGCACGAAACTACATCGGACGATGATTTGCAATTTTTAGGGACGGGTCTTGGTATCGCCATTCGCGTATGTGAACTTCGCAGACTTCTGGCTGGCGGACCAATTGAACAGTATGGCCACAGCGCTGCTGGATTTCCACTTTTTGACCTGTTTTTATATTACCAATGGAAACTGGTTAGAAGCCGGCGACACCACGCGATGTATGTCGGGATCGTTGATTATTCGACCTATCGTCAATTGCCTGCCCGCGTGGTTCCGTTTCGCGCAATGCATTCGACGATACCGCGACTCGAAAGAGGCGTTCCCGCACTTGGCCAACGCTGGCAAATATTCGACCACGTTCCTCGTTGTCATATCCAATACTCTGTGCGTCTACCACGCCGGTGAGTCGCACGCTCGCGCGTAACTTTCGATCAATGAAGATACGAATGATTTCAGTGGAGTACCAGACTCGATGGGAAAATCCTTGGCTGTGGCTCTGGGTGATCAGTTGCTTCATCAACTCGATATACTCGCTAACTTGGGACTTAAAAATGGACTGGGGCCTCCTGGACAGTAATGCGGGTGAAAACAGATTCTTACGCGAGGAAGTCGTCTACTCGGCGGCGGTACGTAAATGTGTGCGAGGAACGCACCGAGATGTTCAAATACTCAAAGCCTCGCGTTTGTTCCAGGGTTTCTACTACTTCGCTATAATCGAGGACCTCGTTCTGAGGTTCGCGTGGATAGCCAGTTTCGTCTTGGTCGAATATGGACACGTGTCTGGTGACTTGATGACCTCGATAGTAGCACCCCTCGAGGTTTTTAGGTAAGCTCGTACTATATACTGATACTTTGCTCTCCCATCGATTCTAATTTCTTGTTTCACCTTAAAGACGGTTCGTTTGGAATTTCTTCCGGTTGGAGAACGAACACCTGAACAACTGCGGCAAGTTCCGCGCGGTACGCGACATATCAATAGCGCCGATAGAGAGTTCCGATCAGACGCAGATTTTACGGATGATGGATGAGGAGAACGGCGTACTTAATCGAGGTAAACGTAAAGTGGGTGGCAAACGACAAACGAACGCTAAAGAGGACAAACGATCGTTACTGAAGGATGAAACGATCGATATAGATGTATCGAATGCTAGTTGAAATCATTTTACCCAGTGGTAACGATACAGGGCAATATTATTTCGAGTCATTTTTACATCGGCTCGGAAGCGTTCGCGTGTACTCGAACCTCCATTATGATCGAAGACTACACCGACCGACTAATCGAAGTGCCTTGTGTACATCGTCCTTTGCGTCTTCCATTAGGATATTTCGGCACTCGATTCATGATTTGACGAATGCTAATAATCGTTTTACGATACTTATAATTTGTATTAGATTCGAATATGATTTATGTGTCAATGATAATCGCGCGCGCACTCGTTCAGTGTCGTAGTCTTCGACCGAAATACGTGGATTTGGTTCGTACTTGAAGTTCTTATAAAGCGTGGCGTAGAGAATGAAAACTGTACATAACAGCGAGTTCTTACCTCTTAACGATGGTGCAGCAAGCGATGCGACGAGCAATACGAACTAGTATTATAATTTTAAGCAAATAAAATTCGCCGCCTCAGCAACGAACTATTGTGAATTAAACGGCGAAAAATACTTTGCCCGTCCGATTGTCACTTGCTTATCCTCGTGATGAGAAAACCCGAAGCAGTACATTCCGAAATGTAATTATAGATATGAATTGCAGCTTGTAGCGTACGCGAGTGAGCAAGTAGATCGCCGATTCTAAACTAAACGCAAAGTACTTTGTGTTGTACATAATGTAGCATTTTTATAGTACGTTTACACACACTTGTACATCCTGAAGAGTACTTTGATATAATGTAGATACAGCTTCTTAATTTGTTGGATACCAATGTACGAATAAATAGAATACTGAAACGTGATTGAGATAAATCGTACTCTATCTTCGTACGTTCAATATGGAAGTTCAGTTTAAAGAACTCTGTCGTTTTCGCGTTGAACTACGATTACGCTGTTACCGTGTTCACCTTGCCATTCCGATGCTTGTGATGGTTTTACACGTATTTTTCTATGTACTTCGTTATAGAGGTAGTACGCGTCGAGTGACGTCAATGATCAAAAATTCCTACCGACAAAACGGAATGCCAGGTATTTTTTATATTTCGTATACAATCGTGTACGTCGGATATGTTCCGTAAGAATGTGCGAAGCACACGGTACGTGTGATCAGCGCTCAATTGGTAGCGAATTAATTATGTACACATACGTAACGTACTTACATTTCGTTTAATAAAATTCGATTATTTAAAGACTAGCGCGTTGTATGCATCCTTTGTCACATTATATCTAATATCGTTTTCAACAGTTTATTTATTAATAACAGTTACGTATATACACAACAGAGTCCAGTTCGTTTAATAAGAGTTATATACAATCGTAATGGCGACGTTGTCGGCATTGCATGTAACGATTTACGAGCTATTAGACACAGAGTTTAAACGAAAGCGATGATTATACAGAACCAAGGTAAGATTTAACGAAGCTCTGTTAGACGTGATTAAACGATGTTCAGGTGTCTCTACGTTATTGTACACGAATCTTGATAGACTGTATTAAATGATTTACTTAAAACTTCCTAAGTACGAGAAAATTTCTGTCCTTCGCTTCATTTTATGAACAACGAAGCGTGGTACCAGTTAATCGTAAGAGACTAACTTCGACGACCCGAGAGAAAAGTTAGAGTCGAGCATCTAAAGTATTGAGTAAATTGCTTTGGCAGTAAAAAATGTAATATTTGAACCATTGTTGGATTTGGAAAATGATCATGTCGCGTCAGAAATCGATTTATAATTTACGTTAAAACTATGTCCTTTGGAATCATCATCGTATAAAGTTATTACTTATCTTGAACCGCTCAGATAATTCAGACCGTGAAAGGTAAATGAATACTCACAAACGGATTAACTGCAAATCCTGATCCGTTCCTGCGACGTGAGCTTTCGGAAGCTTCAATAGTACAGCGACGTACCGTACACGTTCATCCACCCGACCGAACACTCTTCTCGAATCCAAGGGGAACTAATTTTTTGAAGCGGTCCGATCGCGGAACGTTTTCCTCTACGACGATTGTTAGATATGTACATTCACGCGAAATACACGTGGAATGATTTTTACAATTTCTAAGTATACGTGTGTCATATTCTCAAGAATTCTTCGCGGTGCCGATCTCGCTACCGTGACTACTGGAAGCTTTCGACTTCCTCTCCGGATCCATGGCGATCGATATGAACTCCTCCGAGATCTTTTTGTCCAATCCCGTGTACGTTTGAGCCAGGTCCACCTGGTCCTCACCCGTGGACGACCCTCGCTTCGGTGACTCCGATTTCCTCTCACGTTTCTTCCTTTCCACCGTGTCATCGTGCTCCACGTTCATGTGACGCTTCTGCTTTCGCATCTGGAACTAATAGATCCGCTTCACTGTATTTCTTTTTCATTACGCGTTCCCACGATGAGCTGTGCGCCACCGAAGACGGAACGCGATACTCGCTCCACATCGTAACTATCTAAATTACAAAACCTATCGATAACGCGTAACTTCCGTATCGCGTCAGAAACGATGGAATTTGTTACGTTTCGCTTTCACGATAGTTAAAAGTCGCCTAAACGAGAACCGACGAGTTCGAACGGGTCGACTATTTCTAGAAATTCTTTCCCACTCTCGTTGTATAATTACATGTAAAGGGAGACGGCATTCCATCTTCGGGCGTCGAAGACGGTTCGACAGGTTTTTCCTCGAGAAACCGGGTATATCGTACGTCGAATACCAAATTGCTGCGGTACTTACGATTTGCGACGGAGGACGGGCCGCGTACGGCATATGCGGAAGCATAGGAACGGCTCCGTAGCCTGGAGCTATCGGCACGGCTCCCGCTGGAACGAAACCCGCGGGATATTTCCCTGGAGCACCCGGCATCGGGTAAGGGGACTGCAATTAAACGATGCAAATAGTAAGAAAAATGCTGTCTCGCACAAAATCCTGCTTGTACAAATAAAATATTAATTATCACACGAGTTCGCAATTGTTGTCACGCGATACGATGTTCTCCGATGATTAAATTATTATTGGTAAATTTGCATCACAGCAATTGTGACAATTCTTCTCGTCATCGCGCGGATCGAACGAAGCCTTCGAGGTACAGAGCGCGTCGCGCTCATCGATCTGCCGACGGGAACGAAACAGCTTCGCGCGAATTGTAAAGAAATGAGATTCACGTACCAGGCACAGCTGGTTGGGAACCGATTACACGCGAACCATGCACCGCAAGAATCTCGCGCGCAGGCATTCGGGCCGCAATTGCCCCGGGGGGCGTCTCCGTGGCTCAAAGGAAATTACGAAAAAGCGAGACGCACCGGCACGACAGAGTCTTATCCCGGTGACACAGAAAACACCTGCGCGTGCACCGAGCTCGTGCATCTCCGAAATGTAGGCACGGAGATCGCCCCGGGGCCGGAGTTTCTCTCCGCGAGACGTCTTCCGCGTGTCGCGGAACTTTCTATTCCGACGGCTAACATCACTGACCTGTCCTCCTACGAGAGATTCGGCCGAGCGCGAACCGAACTCGATACAGTTTCGAGATTTAGAAGAACTTTAGAACGATTTATGAACGAAGCATCGATTACGGAGGTATCGAAATCGTCGCAGACGATTGCCTCTTTGATCTCGACGAATCGCACGGCTGTGAAAGTGCAAGGACCCCAAAGACCTGTACAGGCGCTCAACTAGATAAGCGAGAGGAGCGTTAAAATGTCTCGACGAACTCACCTGCATCATAGGGTGCACAGTCATCATTGGCTGGACGACGTAGATGGGCTGGCTCTTGGGCACGCTCTGCGCGCTGACCCACTGATGGACCATGTTGCGAGTCTTCAAGCGACCCTCGCCGTTCGCAACGTCGTCGACGTTCCCAGGACGGAGACATCCGCAGAGCTTCGGTGTCAGGGTCAGGCAGCTGTAGCCGGAGACCAGCAGCTCGGCCACGCTGGCTACCAGGAGACCGATGCTTGCCAGCAGACCGGCCCAGCCACCCTCCGCCTCGGCTGCGTCACCGTCTTCACCCTGAATCAATTCGATCGTTTCAGTGATTTAAATCTGACGAGCCCTGCGCAAAGATCGATCGATTCTAGCCGTGTAACGACCGACGACGATCGCTCGTGCGAGGCATTATACGAATACTAGAAACATCGCTACGCGAGATTGGAACAGAGACGAAAGGGAGATTCGTGACGTGCCAATTCTTATTGTTCGTCGGCTGTGAATTTAATTTCGCCGCGTTCGAGCTTAAAGAATGTCGATCGAGTACAGATCTCGGGACCGGAAGCGCGATTTATTCGGGTCCAGGAACGCGAAGCAATTTGCGAGGTTTCACGATGCTGCGCCCTGACCGCGTTTTAGCCTTGGCAATGGGGAGACTTTCTCCACCGGCGGTCAAACGGTCCCACCGGGCCTGTTCCGACTGGTTTGCGAAGCCGAAACACGCGAGAAAAGATCGAACGAATTCAGGCCAGCGATGCCTAATTGTCCCACGTACACGCGACGTACCTCTTCTGCCCGTATTTTACCTCTCCATTAAATGTCTCGACGAATCTTTTCTTAAACGTACTCGTAATTAATCGTTAGCATCGAAGATGTATCGCAGGTTGTAGGAATTGTATACACAAAGATTCTGAATACCGACGCATGGAGGATGCACGAAGTTACGTACTCTTGCGTCGCGTAATCTCCTTGGATAATCGCATTGGAATTGCTATTACTCATCGCTTCGTTAATGATCGATCGTAATTGAGGTTCTCGCGTCCTGATACGCACGTTCGATGATCGGCTCGTGCCAGCTGAGTGAAAATTTCCATTAAAACGATCGGCTAGCCATTAGCGGTGATTCTGATTACTATCGATGATTTTAAGGGACTTCCCGACGCGACGAATCACGACCGATTTGAACGGGACCAGACGTCCCGTCGATCGTTCTCATCGAGAAACGAAACGCGGGACACGACGGGGATCGGATGAAAACGAGGATACCGAGCGAAAGTACTTACCGGAACGGTGAGCAAGGCCACTTCCGGTGTCCTCTGCGAGTCCCTGACGATAGCGGTCAAGGCCGTGATCGCAGCCATGTTCGAAAGGGCAAGGGCGATCAGGCTGGCCGCGAGGTGGGCCGTCGAGAAGCTGGAATTCGTTTTGCCAGGCGACGAGGAGGCGAGCGTCGCCACGACGCCCAACGCTCCCGCTACCAGGGCACCCACGCCTGCCCACAACCCTGCACCGGAACCGCCCAACGCTGCACCATGCACCAGAACGAGGATGCCGAAGACCACCAGGACCACACCTGCCGAGACATTGCGTCTCCTCTGTTTCATTCGACATTTTGCGAGAGCGACGAGACGTAACAATTTTTCAGCTCTTGGTCCACGTTTCGCAGAGACACATTTTATAAATATTTGTCTGATCGAATTCGTACCAAAGGATGCCTTCGATTCGGTTTTTCGCAGACCGCGGAGTTACACAAGTATCACTTTCTAAGTGAAATGTTTTCACTTTTATGCCAATTTCTATGTGCAGTTTCGAGAAATGTCTGTGCTCAGTGGGCGAGCAGCGGAAAAATTGGTGTGTGCTCTTCGTATTTAAACGAGGCTCGAACAATCGTGATTAGCAGCGACGAGAGCACGAGAAAGTAGAAACTATCGCTGCTACCCGTGTGTTTAACTGATGACGTACGCGAATCTAACATGTCAAATTCATATACAGTTGATCCGACACCGATTCTCGAGGTAACCTCGCGTTCTCGATTTGTAGATCGTAACGAGAAATGCGCGTATCGTATCTCACCGAACAAGGTGATACTAATTATTGTAATGGTCAGTTAAGGAACATTTCCCTTTGAACGATTGTATCGAGAGCGAGGAGAACTCGTCGGAACTGGATTCGAATCGACTCGAACGCAACGTTCATTGTTCTAGTGTTCGCCGTCGACTCGAAATCGTATCGCCCCGACGAGCGGAACCCGGTTCGCCGTGAGTCCGTCGCGTTATCAATTGAATCGTTTAGCCTCGATCGAACTGGTTTCCTCGGTCCGATGTCGGCCTCGAGTTTATCATTCGAACGTCGTATATTTGTCGCATCGCGTTTATTCGATGATGAATCGTAGGAAGACTCACCGAGGAGCAACTGCGCGCAAGACGTGAACATGAGGATGCTGGATTCGTCCTTGGAACCGGAGTTCCTCGACCTCTGCCGATCGTCCGGATGCCGGTGGGTCCGTGGCTGTCGTCGTCGTTGCGGTTTCTCCGAGATCAGGATCTCCTTCGAGTGCTTCGACTCCAAACAGCTCTCCGGCTTCGAGTCCGAGTCCTTCGACTCCTTCGAGTCGCTCGAATCTTGACTCCTGACCGTCGAGTCGGCCGCTATCGTACCGTTCTCCATTCTTCCTTCTTCTCTGTCTTCGTTCCAAAGCCTCTTCTCCCTAGCACGGCTCTAATGCATCACTGTACACACCTGTTCCTTCCTGTTTCTCCGACGCCACAAGTTCCCGGAACGTTCTGTCATTTACCTTTTATCCCGTTCTTCCTGGCTCGACTCTCTTCTTTCTCTCTTATCGATCGTTCGCGTCGATTCCACTTTTGTTAAATTTTCTCGATCGTTCAATGCGTTTTAAGTATGATCTTCTGCGAGTATTTTGTCTTCTGTTAGGTATGTCAGTTCGTGAATGGATCGGCGGTTGAGAATTCTGAAAGGACTCGGGCGCAGAGACTCTTCGGCAAAGGTCAATAGACGCCGGAGTCGTTGATCCGATTGACACAGTCCGTTGAATCGCTGTGATCTGAAAATTAAACGAGTTTCTCGGTGTCGATCCAACGGTTTGTACGACAGTTTCGATTTCCGTCTACCGTACTCACGACGCAACGTTTCCTCGCACAAGAACAATGACGAAGCATTGAAATTTTAACATTTACTAGATATTACTATAATAATATTATATAATATTATTACATAATATTACAAACGTTGCTCCTCCGTGATTATCATTTTTTCTAAAAGTTCATTGCTTCAAACATTGGACACAGTTTTTTATTACACGTGTTGAACTTTTGGCAAAGCTCTTACAGCTCGTACAACCTCGAGTGCTCTTACAACAGGATTCGTTTAACGATTGCGACGCGCGGTAAGTACGTCCCCTCGTTTCATAATTCGATGCCTGACGTTCGTCTGACATTTTCGAACACAGTCGTTAAAAGAAACCGTGTTAAACCGCTCGTCAATGATTTTTCCGTTGTGTCGTCATTTCTCGTCGCGGCAGAAACGCTGCGAATGCACAAAAAAGTGGCATCTCGCATGGATCCGCCGTCTGTCGCCAACCTACTTCCACCCGGTGCGAACGCTTCGTAAACCGTGATAAATCGGTTTGTAAAATTGTAGAAAAGATCGCGCGCTCGTTCTTACTCCGGTGTTGAACGTTTCACGGTAGACGAAACCCGCGCGGCTCTCTGTTTACGGTAAATTTTCTGACCGGAAGAACAGATCCTGAGCGCGAGTCGCGATTCGCGATGAGCGAGCTCGTTGCACTCTTCTGTGCTCGGTTCATCGGGACGATTCTCTGTTGTCGGCAAACGTAAAACGATTCTCGTTTCGTCAACGACGGTGGGAATCGATCGAAGGACGAGCCTTCTGGGACTCACGAGACGCTTCGATCGACGGAAGGAATACAAACGGTTAGAAAAGTGTTTTTGCTGGACGAGGAAGCGTTGCATACGCGTAAATGCGCGGCTTTTACAGTTACGTCGTTGACTACGTGCTCATTTCGTTTTACACCGTCGTGGCAGACACACACGATGCGCATTTACCGAACCGATTCAACGGTAGAAGTCGTCGCGTTCGTTTGAATGCGAGATACTCGCGGTCGCACGGCGATCGTTTGCTCCAGAAGGAACGTGAGAGGAAGCGTGCGAAATCGATGGATCAATTAGACTCGAAATAGAATGATAAACGTAGTAATTGTGCGATCGTAAATGAGTCAGAATTACGGAGTCAGAGATCTCTTTCTACTTTTTCTCGATAAAATAAATTTTCTCGCAACCAGAGTACAAAGCACTCTGTTAGAAATTTTTAAATTATCGGAAGAAGAAGAACTGTGGCTATATATATTTTCTAGGTCTTCTCACGGATAATCAAATTGGGATGAATTATTCATCGAAAGATGCGAATCTTGGAACAGCTTTCACCAAATTACGATGGAAATTGTAGCAGAATCCATTAGCCCCATAATCAACGATTAATATAATCGACAGATTCGTCGGTAAATCTTTTCAACTCCCAAACGGATCAACGAATTAATTTCTACGATTATACAGGCTTTCACAGAGATTGCTCTTACTCCGAGCATTGCACGATCTCATTTCCTAGAGATTATTCTAGATTAGTGCTCTCCGCGGTAATGCATCAGGACTCGTTACTAAATCATAGCAATTTACTGAATCGTACGCGAGACTCCCTTCGTCTTTACTCCGTATGTGTTATATAATTCGTTTCGTAGAATTCGTCCAAAGATGTTACGATCGGAAAAGCGCGCACCGAGTCCTGACACCTCGCGATCAAACAACAATTTGAAAATTGAAACGCGAACCGCTTCTCTCTAAATGACTCGCGTCCGTGTCAGAGAAAACCGACGAACGAACGTCAACGTTTTATTCGATAAACACTGACCGTTGCAACGAGTCTTTGCGGCTCTCTAGATTCGAAGTCGACGCTGAGCGAGCGAGTCGCGGAAAGGCCAGGGCGCTGAAGGCTCGCGAAATGAACGTACCAGCCGGTTCGACGTAGCTCCTGTCGCGACTCCCGATCTCACGAGATCCTCCGCAGAGGACGAGCAACACTTCACTCCGCGGAACGTCACTCGCGTCGCGTTCAGATCGATCGCGATAAAACGCTTCTGACGGAAGAAAAAAATTGAAGACAGAGCTAGCAAGCGCGCGTAATTCCGCTCCTCGACCGGCTTCTCGTACGACTGATCGGTGACTGGAGTCGCTCGCTCGCGAGTCCACCGGCTACTCTCCTCCGGAGCCTTTCTCCGTCTCTCTTTCTTTCTTTTGCCTCCCGGTCTCCCCTACCTATCTTTCTCCCTGGCCGAAGGTGTAGCCGCTCGTTTACCCCGAAAATTGCTCAACCATCGATTACCCGCGATTCCTCCAGAAACGAATAGTTCCCGACGCCCCGTACCTCGTTTTTCATCGATCGTTCGACGAAAAAAGTCCGAGATCAACTGCGTCGATCGATTTTATAAAAGGGGACTTGTAAAGGGTAACGAATACGTCGTAGCGGAATCAGGGATAAGTTTTGAATTATTCGTGTCGCTCCTGATTATAGGATCAGTGTTCTTGGCAGGTCGGTTCCGTGTCCAGAATTCGGGAAAAACTTGTACCCCACAAAAGCTGGACACGTAGACCGATGTTTGACGGAGAAATGTGTCTACACAGGAGTTCGATGAAAATCATCTGACGAATCTTCTGAAGTTTTAGTCTTAAGCATCGTTACGGTCAAGAGGGGGTGTAGCTCACGGAAAGGTCAAGGTCTCGACTCTGTACCGTGATGTAATACTTCTGGATCTTTCTGCAGTTTCAACGCTGACAATAAGCCGCGTCTCGGCTTGCAACATGGAACGAGAAGATCGTCAGTTTTCTTTGAAACGTAATACACCCGAGTACCGCCGTTCTTCCGTGCCCAGTCTTAATTCGAAGTACACGACTGCCTCCACACTTGGTTTAAACATTTTCCGATGCGACTCTTCGACGGAAATACCCTCACGACGATCCGTCGATTCTTTTCTCATTACCTCGGATTCTAGGATCGCGGACCTGTCGTTCGTCCGACGGGGGAATCGATCGTCGACGAGATTTTTATTAGGCGTACGCACCGAAGAAAGGTTTCTCCGATACTTTCTACCGGCAGGTGCGAAGTGAAACGTCAAACGAGCAATTGATTTTCCATCCGGTGCAATGATCGACGATTCGATCCAGCGAGACAACGTCTAATGCTCCTCCGTGAACGACGAGTCATATTTTCAAACGGTGGAACAAAGTTCAGGCGCGAAATCAAACGTCGAAGCGACAGGTGTACGACGACGCGTACCTTCCGCTTCGTTCATTAAGAATTCCAAGAGCCTTTGAACTCCTAAAGATCCTCGGTGACGCGTTTCAAACGGAACCGCGGTGTCGAAAGAAACGATCACGATTGTCTGACGCGTGGACGGCGAAGCATCCACTGGAATTCGATTACGGTGTCTCGCGGAAACTCGTTCGAGATCGGCTGATTCGGAATAAAAGGCTGAGTTTCCGGCCGCGGTTCGTTGCGTTACGTGCTGCACGCTCGTATTACGGTATCCCCGACTCGCTTATGCGTCCACTCGTGCATCAACGCGATCCCCGCACGAATGCTCGCGCTTCTTCGGACTCCGGGAACGATCTCCGCGGTTCCGACGAACCCGATCAAAAATCAATTTCCACCGCGCTCGGTCGTTTCCTCTCGCCTTTTTTCAACGTCCAAGGTGTAAAGTTCGAACGACTCGTGATCCAGGTCGTCGTTCGCCAGCGACGAGCCGACGATCGGTGGTTAAAGAGCGCAGAGAAAGTTTTTTATCTTTTGCACGAGGAAAATTGAAGTCTAAATCGACGTTCCGTTAAGACTTTATCGCGGTTATTACGCTCGGGCCTGAGAAAGTTCTATTGACGTAATGACCGCGGGAAAACGATGATCGGGACAGAAACCGGACCGATGATCTCGCCGATGGTGCAGCGATCACGTGTCGAAAGTGTCGATTAACAAATATTTCTCTCGCGAAACTTTCTTTCACGACGATCTCGCTTCTCACACGTCGCGTCGATCGTATAAAAAAAAATAATACGATACGACACACGCATCTTAATTACTCGTTACCCAGGTTCCGTTTTTTAATTACCACGGTCGTTGAGTCAGAAACGCAATGCAATTATAATTGAGACCGAGGGAGTTACACTTGAAATTAGATTCGGCTCGATGTTACATGAATTCGTTCACACACCCGGAACCGGAGGTTCCTTAATTATCGTGAATTCCGATTTTTTATTTTTCAGACCGCGGAAACTACTCGCCACACTCTCATAACGTTAAAGGTCCAGTGTAACAGTTTCTATTTTCAGAAAGTAAGATCGATCGTAAATAGACGCGCGTTCCGACCTTATCTGAAAACGAGACAGCGCAGGCGAAGCGCGTCGGAACATCTGTCTCTGTTTCTTCAAATTAAATATCCCGCGAACGAATCTGTTCGACGTTCGATACGGGTCGGGTGATACGGACAAGGTGGATTGAACGGAGCGATCGAGGAGAGAATTCGGGCTCTCTTTGGTGGCGCATTTCTCTCGAGGTCGCTTTAGAAAGGCTGGAGAAACGTCTGGAAGATCGTGCGAGTGAATACTTGCTTCGGTCGCTACGATCAGAACTTGCGGTTCCACGATCGTTCTCAACTATTTAAACGTTTCAAATCCTGTACACCGAAGCAACGAAAGAGTTCCTAAAATATTTAAAATATTTCTACGATCACAGGATCATTGTAAGAAGTCACAGCCAATTCTTTATACTCCCAAAATTGCACATCAAATTCACTAAACTCGTGAATAGTCGGTTAAATAGATTCTGTATACACGTCGATGATCGAATGCGGCCGTGACACGTCGACCTCGTCCAAGAACAAGTATCATTCTCAATAGATTTTTAGATGATTAGATCTGACATGGATTGACCATAGGAACGGACGAACTGCACGTGGGATTCATGAGAGAACGCGGGTAACAA